CGCAAGAACACCCCTCTCAATCGCTGGAGGTGTTCTTCAAACGTTTTACCGAAAACAATGACATCGTCAAGGTAAATGAGGCACGTATCCCACTGCAAGCCCGACAAAACCAATTCCATAAGACGCTGAAACGTCGCAGGAGAGGAGTGAAGTCCCATGGGTAACCGGTTAAACTGAAACAGGCCCCCTGGAGTCCGAAATGCAGTCTTAGGCTTAGACTCTTCGTCGAGTGGCAACTGCCAGAATCCGGATAATAAATCAAGAGTCGAAAAGTATCGCGCACCAGACAATGCGTCGAGAGACTCGTCCATCCTGGGGAGCGGATACGCGTCGGCCACAGAGATCTTATTCAGGCGACGGAAATCGACGCAAAATCGCAGGGACCCGTCCTGCTTTTTAACGAGCACAATAGGTGCTCCCCAAGGACTGGAAGAAGGCGAAATAATGTCGGCTTCTAGCATATCGTTAACTGCCGACTGAACATGTTCCTTCTCAGCAGGACTCAGTCGGAAGGGATTTTGCCTGACCGGTGCCGCATCGCCCGTTTCAATGTGGTGGCGTAGCAGGTCCGTGCACCCAATGTCATACTTATGTTTACTGAAGACATCCGAAAATTCAATCAGCAACCCGCGCAGCGCACCCAACTGTACCGCTGACAAATCGTCAGAGTCCGCGCACAGCGAATCAACCCAATCGAGGTCCTCCTTCAATGTAACGTTTTCGTGGGGCTCGGATCCGCCTGCGCAACCAGCCTCTCCTCCGCAGGGACCCGCGCCGCGTGAGCTAGCACGGTGCCCTGCTGAATGACGGCCGGCCGCGCCCCAGCGTTTAAAACCATCACAAACGGATCCCTGTCAGCCCCAACCAAAGTGTGAGCCACCGACAAATCGAGACCTCCAACAGCCCTATTAGAAGGACCCAAAAGCATGCCTGTTCCGAGGCCTCCTTCACCCATGGCTTCCGCAACCGGAGGGGAATTAACATTTGTGAACCCGGGGGCACGTGCACGGTCTGTGTCGCTAACGCCTGTATGGTAGCGCACGCCGTCCGAATTTCATTAGGGCTCGTCAAAAATGAAATACGGCGACCCGATGGTAGTTCAATGCAACGCTGATCAATGAGAATTTTGATGGGCATTTTTGCCAAAAAATCAGTGCCCAATAGACAAGGGACCGCCAGGGAGGACGAAACAAAACGGGTCCCGACAATTTGATATCACCAATGCAAATGGACGCCCTAATCTGACCGATAATGCCCAACGATCCCCCGTTAGCGGCGTAAAATGGCACATCCACCGGAAGAAGCGGACGACATTGTACAGGGAGAATATTATAAATGAGATCCGATATAATAGTCGCCGATGCCCCCGTGTCCACTAACACCCTGACCTCGACCCCATCAATAGATCCGGTAACGACGGATGAACCCGCTGAGGCAGCCACTATTCTGTGCCCCAACTCCGACCATTTAATGTCTCCCCGGTCCCGGCCGGAATCCCCCTCTCTGAACCGAATCCCCGAACTCTACTCGGCTCTCCCCGCCGCAACGCGACGACCCATATGTGTCGAGTATGCGGGCCGAGCATGTGAGGTGCCGCGACTTGCCGGGGTTTGCAGGGACGACTTGGGGCCTTGGTCGTCGTCCAGCCGAGGTCCCATGGCGCGCTGACGTGGGGCGCGGCAACCGGAGGCCACGTGGCCCCGAGGCCGCAGTTATAGCAGGTGATGACAGTCGTCGGAGATCTCGGTTGCTCCAGCTTGCGGGCCGCTCGCAGAGGCGAACGACCCCCCGATCTCCAGTCCCCCGGTCGTCCCGCGATGAACGCCTCCTCTCGTGGGCTGACGACTTGGGGCACGGTGACAACTGGGCCCGGAGTTGAGGCCACGGCAGCGTTGCAGACGACCCCCTGTTTACGTTGAAGGACCTCGTGCGCTTGTATGCTTGTGGCGACCCGTAAGGATGAAATATCGGTCTCATCGGCCGTGTTGATGGGGACCCCCAGGTCCTGCGCCAACTTGAGCAGCTGCTCCAAAACCATGGCATCTTGGCCCTCCTCGTCCATACGAGGGAACGCGGCGTCGGCGAGAGCAGCAACGCCGTGCGGTAGGCGAGCACGGTCTCCGTGTCCGCCTTCCGTCTTGCATAAAAATGATGGCGGCACGCCGAGGGAGGACCATAGACCTTGGCCATGAGAGCCAGCGCATCCTTGAGCGTGGAGCGGTCCGACCTGCGTGCGGACGTGAAGGCCGCGAGCGCGTTGTCGTCCAGCATGGCAGGCAGTGCCCGCAGTGCCGTAGCGTCGGACCAGGCGGACATCTCCTGATGCGCCAAAAATCTGCGCTGAAATTGGCTCCAATCCCCGCCTTCCGCCTTGAAGGCTGACAACGTGGGAAGGCGCTGCTGAAAGATGAAGTCGTCCTCCTCCTCGTGCTTCCTCTCTGCCGCCCCGTCGGTGTGTAAGATGGCGGCCCCATCGGCGGGTGTGTGATGGCGGTCCGCCGCGCGCGTTGGTGACGTCAGCGGGCGCGCATGGAGAACCGCTGCCACGTGGTGATGGCCGTTCCCGCCAAAAGTCGGTGCAGATGAAATGGCGGGAATCGCCAAATCGTTTTGGCGGGAATCTGCAGGGCGACCCTGTAGAACGTCGGCCGCCGTCTCCGCTCCTCCCGACGAGCTGATCTCCGCCAAGATGGACGCGGCGGCGAGCAGCAGCTCCGCCAGACGGGAGTGCGCCTCGCGAAGCACGGCGTCAGTCCCCCGTCGCTCGTCCGGCGCCGTCGGCGGATCCTGCCCCGTGGGCAACTCCTCTTCCTCACCCCCGATGCCAGCTGGCCCGCGTCGTCGAGGTTGTCCCCGTGGTCAATCCCGTGGGTCCGACGGTTCCTCCTTGTATCCATGCTTGGAAGACCGTTTCACTTCTGACGCCAGTTGAAGTATGGGAATTGACGGCAGGAACTTCTTGACGGGAACACACTTTTATTAAATCTTTACGTGTCAAAATACAACGTGTGGTCTCCTTTCTTCCGACTTCACACTCCACTACTCTCGTGTAAACTCTAGGCCTCTGGCTACACACGATACCCTTCACTCGTGTAGACCCTATGCCTCTGGCTACACAATACACTCGACTCGTGTAGACCCTATGCCCTGGCTACACACACCACTCGTGTAGACCTATGCCTCTGGCTACACACACTACACTCGCCTCTGGGTTACACAGAGTCCCGGTCCCGTTAGGACAGCGGGACTAGGTACCGCAGGGCCCTAGGTCTTCATCCCGTCTTCATTCTTCGCTGGTTACACACTGCCCTCACGCCTGTGTGCATCCCCTTTTATAGCCCCTGCTCACGAGAGACGGAGCTGATGCGTACGTCAACGTGAGCATCGCTCCTTAATGAACCAATCACGACGCACTCTCTCTACGATCCGTTTCCCCAGCGCGTGTTAACACTCCTCCACCAATCACACCGCGCTGCCACCCGATCACTCCCTCTCAGCACGTCACCGGCCCACAGCCAATCAGTACCCCGTAACCCACGACCCCGCGCTGACCCCTGATCCTCCACCGTCAGCGCGCGTCACCACCTACACAGCCAATCATTACGCGCTGGCATACGATCTCTAATCCCAGCGCGTATCACCTCTACATATTTATGCAATCTAACCCCAAAAACCTATATTATGGTCTTCATTGGTAATATATACATGTGAAGGGAAACCACAGAACTGAAAAACAATCCCACTCATTAGAGAATAACGATTTAAAAAATCTGGACAAATAGGCCAGCAGCCTACTTGCATTTACTAGCCACCTAGTAGCCTCTCATGCACTCAATGATTTCGAAATGAACCAACTCTTCCCTCCAAAATTCTGAATTACAAGTGTGTTCCACTAGTCTTAGCTCAACGAGTAACAGATGGAGACTCAGCCATACTCCTGGAGGCAAGACATTTATTAATACCAACACACTAACACAAAGGGGTAAATGCCCCTTCACCAGATAACAACCTATGGTGGTGGTCCACCAGGCTAACTACAATAACTGCACTGGCAGTAGCTACGATGGACGGGACCCCAGCTTGGGTCCAAGTCCCCGTGTTGGTGACTTGTCTTTGGACGTAGGGCGTAGAACGTAGAGTCTTCAGGATAACAACAGCAGCCGGTCCCACTGGGGCACGGTTTATATCCTGTGTGGCGGGGCTCACTCCGCCCCTAGCCACGACCACCTTCTCGAATCCTCGAGGAGCATCTCCAACTAGACACGTGATCCCCCCAGCCGCCCTTTGGGGGTCCCCGGGTAGGCACCTCCGGTCACGTGTCCTCCGGGGTCAACCAGAGTGCCATAGCCCCTTTGCAACCCCGTTCCGTGGCCGGCACCCTCGCACCCTATCCTCTAGGGGCTGGCACTGCACGCAGCGCGTGGTACCATCCGTCGCTGTCAATTAGCGCTCACCGAGCCCCGCTTAGGGCCGGTACTGCATCCATATTCCAGTGGTGTCAGCGATGTCATTACATCGCACGCCGTGCCTCTCACTGCCCAGCTTCACACAGTGACATCCCGCGATGTCACTAAACAGATATGAATTGCCTTCCACATCCCTTCGCAACTCAAATGAACACTGTACTAACAAGAGTGTCACCTCCTACACAACACTTGCTATTCCATTCCCATTTTTTTCCCAATATATACACATATACAAGTGCTATTAGCGAGCACACTAGGCCGCCTGTCTCCCTCGTGGCGATGTTTACACAATGCATTAGGTACCCATTGGAGGCTGAGTCGACCTAGGGGAGGCCCAAAACCGGTTCAAATAATTACCACTGGTGTTGGTCGTGGGCAGGAATCGAATTTTGGGTCGCCGGGTTTGTAGCGCAGCACACTAACCGCTAAACTACCACTCCCTACATACACATATATACCACACACAGCACATACATCCACAGATAATACGCATCATTAGCAAACAGCCAGAAATGTTAATCGAGAGATTAAAAACTACATTGACCCTGTGGTTAAGGGGGGTACCTGTTGCGCGACATCCGCCTGCTTGCGGGTACAGCGGCCCATCATTTGCAGGAGCTTTTGGAACACGGTCGGAGCAACCTGCACGAGTTCTCTGAGCTTCTCCTGCGAGGCGGCGATGGCGCTACGTGCGGCAGCATCAACGACAGGTTCTGCCCTGCTCCGGGCACGTGTCACTCTGGCCTTTGCGTTCTTGCCGACGGCGCTCGCTCCGGGCACCTCGGTCGCGTCCTCGTGGTCCTGGCACAGGCAGTGCCTCAGCACGCTCTGCAGAAGTTGCAAACCCAGTGGCAGGCACTGCACTCCTTTATCTGAGAGCAATCGTGGGAATTAAACAGTTGTGTTCATTATTGTTGTGTTCAAGGTGTACAAGGAACTGTTCGAAAGATTAATTAATGAAAACAGAATCACTTCATGAAAGCACAATCAGAAGCCTGTTCAAGACTCAGAAGTAAGTTATCAAGTTGCTGCTTCAGTGAACTTTTCTGAAGAAGGCCATTCGGCCACAACGTCAAGATTATCATTAAAAAGGGTTCATTTTAATTAATGTGTCACGTTTTGACTTCAGAAGCAATTTTATTATATCTTAAAGAGCCATTCTCTGATACAGGGTCGTCCACTCCTCGCTAAATATTCAAAGTGAATATGTATTAGTCTCATTACATGATGCCAATGGCACATAACTATGAAAATGGGTGCCAGAAAATAAGTGCAGATGTATGGTGTTCAGAGAATAAAAACTATAAATGATAAAACAATAAAGGCACTGTTGCAATATACTTTTTCGGTGCCTCATGATGTATAATTTACGAAAGGAGTGAATTGTGTGCTATACAATATTATTGAGCTCTCTTGCCTGTTTCCACCACACTGATGGTGAATTCCAGGCAATGTCCAATAAAGTCAGGGTCTGCAAGCCCCACAAGCACTATGTCCTTACAGGCCTTCAGATACACCTGTGAAAGACAACATCAGGATTCAGTGGTCAAAGCTTGAAAGAGTAGAGGTTGGAGGTTGGAATGGGCACGGGGCAAATGTCGTACGATGCTGCTGAAATTATTTTACGGCGATACAGTAGACAAAACACTTAGCATGCAGGACACAGCATTCATGCGGCATGTAATTCTCAGGAAACTTGACTCATTATTGCCAACACACGAGTTGCTTACAGAAACATGCTTTCTTTGATGTCTGGCTCATTAGGCACACACTGGTGTCAACAATGCATAGTTTATTTATTCAGTATATGTTCCTGTGTTATTCATGTTGAATGCTGTGGCTGTGAAGTGTGCTCATGAGTGAAACACTGCCACTTCGCTGCACAAGTCACTTGCCATGGGTGTATATATACGTGTGTAGGTATGTACACTTCATATGGGGAGTGCAAGTGCAGGGGATAGCTCATTGCGCTAACATTTTTACAATCCAGGTTTGATTTGTGGGTATGCAGAGAAGTGGCAAGGACCGGGCATTGCTTATGTAACACAGTCAGATATGAGCATCTATGCAATTTTTTGATCTGGTAAGACAAAGGTGATAGGGCATTGGACTGTCCCACCACTTTCTCATGTTCTACACAATAGGGGCCTAAATTGGTGCTAACTAATATCATTTATCCAATGCAACCAAGCTAAACAAATATCAAAACCGATGCACTTCTTAAATACAAAAATTAGTGGAATTCATTACGCATTGCGATCTTGTCCACATCCTGCAATAAACGGCAATGCATAGCTGCTGAAAGTGCCTGTCTGGGCAGCTCACGGATATAGCAGGCATTCATTTAATAAACAACAAACGTACTTTATTGTGTGCACATGAGACAACAAATTTTTTTTTATGTTTACACGGTATGTGGATATATATATATATGTCCTTGGGTTTAATTTTTTTTGCCAAACTGTGTAAGTGTAACAATGTATATGAAATTAAGCATAAAATTCTATACACAAACAGCCATGCAATGTTTACAAAAATAACCCTTCAATCAATGATTGTTTTGTAAAAACCACTGATGGCCTGATATGCAACTAGTCACCAAGAAATGTAATCTCCATATGTAATTGTTTTAAATCCATAACACTCACACGCAATTTTATGCACTGCTTAATGATGCATCAAAAAAGATGCAGAAATTGAGATATATAATTAATTGGAGCTGAACAGGCCCTGAGACAGCAAAGCCAACACAAAAAGCTATCATCTGGCAGTGGCTTGAACATGGCAGTTGGTGATAAATGTAATTCCGACAGAAGCGACTCCAAAAGAAACTGAATGACTTGTAACCAAAAAGAACAATGAAACTACAGATTCTCATTAAGCATTCCTCACTGTTGCAATGTCGAGCGCGAAGCTCGCTTGAGCCTCAGCCTTGTTGCTAGCAGTGTCGTGTGGAGCCTGGAGTGCGCACAGCACGTACTGCACCACCCAGCTGCTTGTGCTCTCAAAGGAGGCCTGAATCGCGCGGCCTTCTCCATTGTGCTGCCAAATACAAACAAACATATGTACACACTATAATAGAGGTTTTTGGGTTACACACTGCTTACACACACACAATACATAAGTACACAGCCATACTAGTTATTGCTCGCAAAATCCCTGTCATTGAACTGGGTGCTGTGTCGCACTGGCCATCATCATCATTTCATCACTCTAAACAATATGATACCCATGACTTGACAACACCAAAGCAGGGCAGGCAAGTACCTGCATTTATCGTGTCCATCATATCATGGGTTGCATTACGAGATAGGTATTACCATTCAATGTAATTACTTAAAATTACCTGGTCATTCAGTAAATGCAATGCTTTTGGATTACCTACATTACAATACTGTGGAAGTACTGCTTATACATTGACTTATATTGAAGTTATTGTGCAGTATGGCAATATAATTATTACTCCGCTAAAATAGGCCACAGCAATCAGGGCATTTATTTATATATTAAGATTCATTTAAATGGTTGATGAATAAAATTTTTAAGTGGTATCCCACATTGACGCTGCTTTGATAAATGAAGACATGCACCATGGGCTGGAATTGGGATCGCCTATTTGTCCCAGGCTCTTCTCCACAGGGATGCTGACCTTATGGTGAATGAGGATCTGTAGTAGACAGTGCAGCCGGAATACACGTAAGGCCGTCGCACTCGCAGTGTCCACGCCGATCGTCTTCGGGTTTTTAAGGAAGGCTCGCAGAGTGTCCTGTATAAGAGTGCAGGGAGAGATTATCAGCAAATTAAACCACTTGCTCGCTCTTTGTACTTATAAGCGTCGCAAAGCTTTGCCGTCTCTCTGTTGCCTTTCAGTGCTTAAATAGAGGTGACATGGCCAAGCAGTAGCGCATTTGCCGCTTTTTTCAGAGGTTAGTGATTTGTGACTGCCATGTTCAATACTGCGGGTGTATGCACTGTTTACTCCGCAGTGAATGTTAAAGATCCCATGGCATAATTCAAAATAGCAGCCATATAAGCCTGCATCTTGGTACAAATAAAAAAACTACACCTAAATTACTTGTGGTAAAACACAGCACTATCATTCCCTCTTGGCAAACTATGTCAGTCTGTGAAACAAAGTGCCTTCATGATAGTCTTGCACCATAAGAATGGCACAAATACCAAATGTTGTAAATTGTTATATAAATCAAAAGCAGACATTCACAGAAATACAACCCCATTCCGTTGTACTACCCCATTTATTTGTGCGAATGTTCGAGTCACGTAAGCACCTTTGAGGTGGCCAGTAGCTCAGTGAGAGCATTCAGCTTGTGACCAGAATCCAGCACAGAAGCGCAGCACACAGGTGAGCGGAGCATGTACTCTGTGTACTGCAGTGCCAGGTCGGGCTTTGGCAACATGGGTACACTTATCCGCACTCGGTTGACTCTTGTCTGATGGGTGACAGTTGCAGATAGGAACAGGTCAAGTTCGGACAATGAAACATTTCAGTGCGAGTCTAAATCCCACAAGCAATTTTTACACCCGCGAATTTTGTTAGAAAGATTCGTGATTGAAGCAGTAATAGTTGAAACATAAGCAGCACTATTTGCGATGGTCATACTCATAAATAAGAACACTGATGGAAAGAGGTGGTATAATTTTTCATTGAGCAATAATAATATATTTTATATAAGTACTCATGGCTCTGTATAGTTCCTTGGTCTTTGCGTTCCGATTGGCTGCCGTCAACTCACTGCTCAGCGCCTTTTGATTAGCTAATGGCCACGGGCATTTGTGCGGAGAGGGGGCTAAGTAGGAGGGGAGGGCTGCGGCGAGGGGGGGTGCTGGGGATTGTCCCACGCAAGGGGGACACCCAGTGGTGGAGAGGTGGGGGGATATTGGGGGTGGGGGGGACCATCCTTGAAAGACGGGTACATACACTATTTAGTCAATGAAATAGTATCTGTAAATGCTAATGGTAAAAATATTGAAATAAAAAGTCGTTGAAAATAATCATGACAAATATTTATTGTTAAGTAATGTCAATTGAAAGGTTATTCTATCTTTGCCCCCTTGTTATCTCTCAGACTAACCTGTGGAGATTTTTGGCCCAGATTGGCAGACAGCCATTCTGTAATGAGCTCCAAAATGTGACCCGCCTGGCCCCAGCAGCACATGCAGTCCAGCAACGGTGTGAAATCCATGTCATCCACACCCAGTTCAAAGGCACGTAGCCGTGACAACACGCTGCCACTGCCACCGCCACCAACCACACAGGCAAAAAAACGATAGATCAGCGATTGATGGAACCGTGAGCATACACAAAGCTTGAAACTGGTGAGGTATTCTGTGAGAAGTAACTGGAAAAAAAGTATTAAAGTATTTCACCAGCCCTCACCTGAAAGTAGGGATGGTGTTGGGAGGCATGTAGGAAGCAAGAATGACCAGTGCCTGGTAACAGCGCTCGTTCTATTTTATGGAAGAAAACAGTGTAGCAGCCAAGTTGTTCAACCCACGAGACATGCAAGATTTTTGACACTGAAGTACTCGAAGGCAACACACAGTGTCATTCTGATGAAAGGATATGTATATGTACATATGTAAATGAAAAAAAACTTATATATACTCGGTAAATATAAAAACGTAACCATGTTCTATCCCTTTAAGCCTACTTGACAAAGCAGACATCTGAATGAGGACTGGCATGCTCAATTATAATTACAATTTGTATTCAAAGATGTCGCCCAGCATAATCACCTTGAACGTTCTGAAGTAACCGGGCACCACGTCGGAAAACTTAATCACGAGCTGCTGATACACGCGCGGGTTTCCCAGTAACACTTCGCGAATGCTGCTCCACAGGATGACCACCACCTCTAGCAAGCTGCCCACTGTCGTCAGGTCCTTGGCGAGAGGTACGTCCTCATCATCATCATCATCTTCCTGCTGGAAGGCACATGCTCGAGGGTTCAGCATGCGACGCTCACGTGCAGACTGTGCTGATGCAGGTGTTGATGCACAATTCCCACATTACCTGAACACTTACAGCACTAAAGCCGAGTGAGCCACGTGACAACAGTGTGGTAATATGACAGAATTAACAGGTGAACACAATAATTTGGCTTACAAATTACAATTCAGGAAGGACTAGTAGGAGTGTAAGGATGAATGAAATGATCAACTAAAATTGATTATTACTCTCTGATATGCATGCAATAATTAGTTTGCGTGAGAATCAATATATTTGCATGAAATCGGTTCATGCGACCTATGCAGCTACAAAACGTACTATAATTTCCACAATAGGACTATTTTTCCACAATTACCTCGAATTATGACTAATTTAATCGTTATAAGTCTTCCAAGGACATATCAGCACTTATCTTACACTCTCATTTTCTTTCTCATCTCCCTCAGCTTCTTTCTCTTCATTCTGGCGTTTGTGTTTTGGCAGACACGTGTTCAGGCAGTGATACAGCTGCAAAATCAGTTTGGCTGCGGGAGGATGCACACACAAGCAAATCATGAACTGCACTGCCACTGCAGATAATTACATTAAAAATCCCTACTTAAATTTCAACTCACTTTAGGACCACATCAAATATACAGAACTTTACTTCACCACTAGTTTACTCAAAAGGCCGTCAACATCAATCATCACATTTCCATTACAGCTCTCATACTTAACATGCCTTCAGGAGCACACACTGCAGCCGACTGAGATGACAGGGTCAGGGAAGCCAACAGCCAGCAGCATCAATGAGCAAAAACTCGATGCTCCATGGGTAATAATTTTGTAACAAATCACATAGAGATTGAATGCTCATAAGAACTGTGGGAAACACATTTGGACAACCTGGATCTAAGTGAAGTGAGGAACACAGTAGCACCTGCTTAAAAATTATATTACAGTATTTTACTTTTACAATCGAGTAATTGCAAATTATTGGTATATAATGTTTTTTATTTTAGCAATTCATGTACAGTGGACGATAGTGCAAATACATCAGACCTTACCGATATTCGTCGGCGACACGAACTTGTGTAAGTGTTGATAGAAACAGCGGGTGGCAGTGGGGTTCATCTGCACAAGGGTGATGCAGCGCTCACGCCACGTCTCCTCGGGCTGCTCAACCGGCAGGAAGGAGCTGGCCAGAAGCTGCACCAGCCGGCGCGTCACTACGGGGCTGTCCATCGCCAGACGCGCCAACAGGTGCTCCATCGGACAGATCTTCCAGTACTGCGGGTCACAGAAAGGTTAATGGGGCAAACGGGATGGAAATTTAACAAGAAGAAAATGAGGTAAAGCGAGACCTGCTACCCCCCCCCCCCCCCGTTGAATTACGTAACTCATCTCCCAGAATGCTTTACACTAACATTTAAGCATACTTATTATATAAGTAGACTCATTATTTTGTTCTTTTTTTATCATGACTTGTATTCCTACTTAAAATGTATGCTGCTAGACAATTTTATCCAAAAGGGTTAATGGAACAAAAATGTTATGTGGATAGACAGACTGTTGTCTATTTATTAGCTATAATCCTTCTAGAGGCGGAGCCATGGTGCTATCGCGCGCTGCGCTATGAACCCAATGGACTGATTTAGATTTTTGACAATGGCTAACACCCATAGTGAGTGATATCTGAATTGGTTCTGGCCACTCACCAGTGTGGTCAAAACCATAAAAAGTAATATTTGTACTATGATTATAATTCTCCGAACTGGATATAATCATTATATTTTTGTCACTATGGTTTGATGTATTGTTTCGTGAATATTATTGTGGATGAAAAAAAGTTATGATAATCGTAATGTCCCTAATACATGCTAAAAGCTAGATATGACAATAATGTCTGCATTGAAAGTTGAATGGACTTTTCACACTTTAGTCACTTTAATTACCACTTGAAAAAACCTTTTCCTCTTAACTATTTCACAATGGACCCAGGACACATTAAAATTACAAATGTGAAATGGATAAATTGGGGAACAATTTAATTACTTTTAGCATTATTTCATCAAGTTTATCTTTATCACAGTAACTTGAAATAAAATTGCATCATATCGAACAAAATGGGTTTAATAATTAAGTGAAAGAGAGCTATTTGTTCTTAGTAACCAGTCTGCTTGCCAGTGTGGATGGAATATTTATTCACAAAAGATAACAAGCATTCTAGATTTGAAGTTTTCGTGACTGGAAGGATTCATACTCTTTGGTTTTTTCGGTAAAGTCACGTAGGTAAAAATGTATATTAATTAAATCACGACGTTTCGGGCGCAACACAAGCATCCTTCTTCAGGTGGGGATCACTTAGCAAAAGCACACCGCTTAAGTGTGTGCTTTCATTTATTTGAATTTTTTACCTACGCGACTTTACCGAAAAAAACAAAGAGTATGATAACAAGCAACAAGGTTTTCGTCGGTATACTTGCAAAGGCAGCTAATGGATACGAGTAGCAGCACTACAGAGGTTGATAAAAGTGAAAATGCATGAGGAAACTGCATTATACCTTAGCCGCTCGCACAGCCTTGACCTTAAGCAGCATGTCGACAAAAGCCACACGCACCCTCTCAGTTACATCGTGTAGCCCATTCCTGGCTTCTGGAAGGAGCTTCTCCATTAACGGGTGACTCAATTTGTTGTCGAGAACAATTGGCAGGGACTGTGAAAGAGAACACCATGCACCCACAAACATAAAATCATGACTGACGAAACAATTGCTATTTGCAGACATAAAAACTCACAACATGAATCAGTGAAGAGGTAAGCACTACATTTGGCTGACTGTCTCTCGGCTGTCACTATTATGAGTAATTCTTGACACAGACCACATAAGATTCCAACTGCTATTCATATACGCGTATAGGTATCACACCGTGTTCACTAGCATAGCGTGATGAGTACATGACTCATCCCCGAAACACATGTGCATACACCCATATAGGCAATCTCACACACACAAGCACAAATTAAGTCATAAACACACAAGAAATTTGAATTTAGGGATCTATCCTGCTTTGTATGGTGACACAAACAAGGCCTTCATGGCCTTAAATGTCTGAAATAATGCTGGTAAATCTTGAGGTATGTGTAGAGGCTGGTGATATTTGGGGTACCTGTACCTCTGACTCAAGCGTGGCACATATCACATGCACATTATTTACTTGGCCAGTATGCTTAAGACCAAGTGGCCGAGGAAAATGTAATGCGCTTTCTGTCAAAGGCAGTTCTTTAACATTAAACACAGGATAACACTTACAAAAAAAGAATCTGAATTCAATGTCTTAGTTTTGTCACCCTAAGCTTGTTACATGTTTACAAGGTTGTAAATAGGATATGTTACCTTTGTGTACACATTACGATTTTTTTTTTTAAATGTGGTTACCATCACCAGCAAATAACTAAACACTCTTGCTAAGGAGTTCCTGGGTTATTTGAGCATGGAGACTTGACAGGCATGGTTAGTATTCCCTGCAGACCACTGGAAAGAAATGTTACTGTGACAAAACTGCAGCTGTTGTGATTACATAATAGACTGTGCTTGTCTAATTAACAATTATAAAACAACACAACTGAACAATTTTATTTTTGCATGGAATATGCTACAGCTAAGACCATTATCTGCCACAACCCTCAAAAATCAAGGTGACAATATTCCTTTCAGTCACACAAGTAACAATAATCCGCACCATGCAAATATAATGCCAATGTATAAGGACATTTATATACATTATGTAAAAAATACATTGCAAAATTGGTTAAACATTGGAACCTCACTGAGAACATATATTTTCTAAGGGAGATTTGAGGAAATATAAATGTATTATTTATTCATAATAAATTTTGAGTAGGACTCACAATTGGGGATATGGGCAAAGACAGGGTCCCACAATGATCTTATTGCAAATGAGGTTGTAAAATATTTAGGATGCACTCTTTATCAGATGCCATTGTTTTGCTAATTCCATGCAGAAATTCCTGGGCTACAATAGGAATGAAACTGTCTACTGCTTGTACAGAGGGTCCAGTGGACGAGCACAGTGTTTTTATGCTGTCCCTGTTACCATAGTAAAATGAATGTCCACACTTACGACACAAGTGCACAGAGATTTGTGGGACTCCAAAACCTGCTGGGTTGTGAGATATCCAAGATAGCAGAACAAAATAAATGATTAACCATCTGTGTAAAGCTTTGAGTGTTATCCCTTCATACGTGTAGGTTTTCCTTGGGTACGCTGGTGAAAAACACTCATTAATCCTGAGATTCAGTGAGGCTTTACTAGACAAATACATAACATTCTTTCCTGGATAAAAAAAACGACTAACCAGTCAGATCATCACCTTCCTTAAACAATGTATATGGTGGTGGTAGTGATGATGACAATCATGATGGAGATGGGGACCTTGTAGACGGCACAGCGCACATCAGCCGAGGAGGCATCGAATGCGAGGCTGGAGACAAGCTTTGTGAGTAGCTCGGAGAGCGGGCGTCCGGGGATCATCTCCCAGTAGCGCGAGGTTAGGCGGCACACTCCTAGCACCGCGCTCGAGCGCACTCGAGGGCACGGGTCATCCAACACACGCTGCGTGTGTACGCACGCACAAGCAAACACAAGGGGTTTGGTGAGAGAAAAATATACAGTACGTACAATCACACTGCATAACCTATAGTTCAGTCTGTTCAATTTATATGGTACAAGATCATGGTCAGACATTCGCTGCTACTTTACAGTCATCGAACATTACCGTCTTCTCTGCAATACAGCATTAACATACTGAATTCGACAACAACATTTTTTCTCATTCCAACATAATATTAGGCAGGCTATCGGGGAATCTGTGCTTCATGTTAAAGGTTTGCATGTTCAAGGGCCCATCGCTACTAATTTAGTGTTGTGCTATAGCATATTGTGAGCAAATACAAGTACCAATCAAACAGCTTGCTCTTGGAGAAGACATTAACTCTACTGACCAGATGATCTGTATGCAGCAATTAATATTACCTAAATATTGCTGGTAAATGCAGCTCAGTGTGTCAGGATCCTAGTCAGATAAATCACTTGTAATTAATATCAATGCAATGAAAATGGCAACTGCTTGCCAACAAGCGTATTCAGCTTGATTAAACTACCGTGTGCTTATTAGTGGGTATGTATTTATGTGGCCATACTCAAAAGTGTTGCATTGCAGTAAAGAGTACAGTCCATTGCAAGACTGCTTTAATATACAGTACTATTTAATAACATGTACAGACAGTACATATATACATTCGCATACATGAACGTTATTAAGTTCAAATTGTACCGTCATGCAATGTGCATAGAATAGTTATGAAAAAACATGCATTACTTTATATATTAAATAGGTTTTAATTTAGTGTAAAATCAGATTCTTCTGGTCTAAATAAATATTCTGAAAATATAAATAATATAATAACGACAAATATTTATTTTGGACTTATTCTTCACCTAAAACAATTAACTCAGCAAAATTCTGTAGCTTGCTCATTATCTGTCACTGTCGGCAATGATGGATGTGTATTGCAAACGAATGGCTTAGAAATCCGATTGCCAATGTTGAGACACTCGGCCATCTCCTCTGAGATTCTGAGTTCAAGGCCCAGGTCACTGCTCGTGGTTAACTGGCTCACATGTACGGCAAATCTAACGGTGTCAGTCAAAAGTCCCTTTCGTAGAAGAAAAAAATCACCTATCGGGTGAGAGCCCACATATTCATCTGCCCGGCTCTACTACTTCATCAATGGGTAAGAGACAGGTAAAAGTGGCCAAGAGCTAGCCAATGCCTTCCTGAGGCTGTTCCTTGTTGAGACTATCAACCCCAGTGTGTGCAAAGGCTAATGAATGGAGCTGCTCTCACGATCTACATGGCACTGCTAGCACAATATATAGTGGTAAATATCCCCAACTCTACCAACAACAAAAAAAGCATTGATCGATGCACATGACACTCACAAAGAGCTCCTCAAACTGCCTCTGCAGATTCGCATCTGCCTCCTCCCTCCCAAATGCAGGGTCCTGCAGTGGGAAAGCGTCCGTGAACAGCAGGGTGGCGTTGGCCCGTATCTCGCTATTGCTGGCCTGAAACAAAGGCAAACACCCTCAGCATGAGCACTACATGGGGAGAATATCTTTTGGAAACAGTTTCTTTTGTAAAATAGGACAAAATTGCATGATGTAATAGTACAGTTTCAATTCAGTTAAACCTGTTTGAAGAGTAATTGCATATATGAGAAAAGAGGGCAAATTCACATTGTTGAAACAACTTTTCGGTGTGATTGTTAAATGTGCATAAAAACTTGTGAAGCAATCATGATGTATTTTTGAAAAATTAATACTTTTGGATTCAATATAAGTGTTACAAATTGTGGAATGAACTGTTTCCAATGACAGGCTCAACGCACTCAGATAATCGCACTACTGACTAAACATTTAAATATTTGAACAAGAGGAATGACATTTTTAACCCATATTTGAAACTGGCCTGCTTAAGATGCAAGTGCAACAATTAGTAAATAATGCACAGATGTATTTACTTTCAGTTCACCAGTCTGATATTTACCAATTTACAATAATACGTCAAATAGGATGTACATAGGAGTGAGCATTAGGTCTCGGCAAGGTAAGGTAATTTACAATTTTTACCGGGTAAATGGGTAAAGGTGTCGACCACGCCAAGGGGTAAGGTAAAGGGTAGGGTGAAGGTAGCACGGAAGAATTACCCGGTAGGGTAAAAGTAGCGCAAAGTATTACCTGGTAAATACCCTATTTACCGCTCGCTAATCGCTCCGTGGCGCAGTCCGTGGCCTCCATTTTAAAGTGGAATCATCAATGTCGGACCAGATGGAGACGGACCACGTTCTTGAGGTAGAGGATGAGGTCGAGGATGCCAGCAATGGCATTTCCGGGGTCGCTGCAAACAGCAATCGAAAAAGGCAGCGGCATGCGTTCCCGTGGGAGCACACTCACGATTGTATGGAGGGTGATCCTCGTGTGCAGCAAGGAAAGCGGCAGTGCACTGCCGCAAGTGGTTTTCCTCCCACACGAAGAACGCGTCGGGGTGGAAATCCCACCTCAAGAAGCACAACGCGCTCGCCCCAGGCAGCGCGGTCGGGACGTGGACGTCGGCGTCGGCGAGCCGCCTAATGCAGCAAACGCTGAGCTGGCCAACAATCCCGGATCGCCTTCTGGTAAAGTTTGAGAACGCGGTGGTTTATTTTGTTATCCAAGGTGCAATCTCTTTGCGAGCCGCCGGCAGCGATAAGTTGAAGACCTTGGTCCACACATTGACGCAGGGATACGAGGACCCGTCGACCCACACCGTCATTCGCAGGATTGTCGAACTTCACGCCATCATGCTGCCCTTCGTTAGGACGTTCTTCTCCAACCTTGACGTCGCCATCTCGCTCACCATTGACGGGTGGTCGAACCGCAACCTGAAGGGATTTTGGATGGTCACGGTGCACTGGATCGACACCAAATCTGGTGCGTCGAAATCCATGCTGCTGATGATCCTCGATGTGCAGTCTGGAAGGGGTGTCGGCAAGCGCATTGGCACCACTCTGTTTGAACACCTCCAAAGCCTCGGGCACAATGTCTCGACCAAGCTGCTCGCTGTCACCAGCGACAATGGCTCCGATGCGATCAGTGCTGTCAAGACGTTGTTCGCCCTGGTCAGCGCGGATGCCAGATATGAGCAGTTGCGGACTTGCCACCATATTCGCTGCGCAGATCATTCGGTCCAGATCGGCGTCGTCCAAGTTCTCAAACTGATCAAGTCGATGAGGCGCTCGTCAATATCAGGCGCAGCAAGGTCGTCCGGCAGTCGTACCGTTGGGAGGCCGAGATCGCCAAGTTCGACAGCAAGGAGCTGACGTACCAGGACTCGCCGACCAGGTGGAATTCGACGTTTGACATGGGCGATGACGCCATCAAGAAGCGTGTCCCATTGGACATTATCATGGGGCGCTTCCAGGATGTGATCGGCGTCGGTGCTTTCACTGAACTGCAGTGGGCAAACATCGAGGGCATGAAAGCATTCCTGCGAATGCTGTGCCAGGTCATGACCTCGTTGTCGGCGGACCGCAAGTAAACATTGGATCTCGTGCCAGTGATGATGGAGCACCTGATCCGTCATTGCGATCGCGGCGAAGGCGCTCTTAGAGCGATAGTCCTTGACCGCGACGGGGATGAAGGCCGAGCTGGTGCGGTACCGCGACTTTCTGCTTCAGAAACCCGCCATTGTGGCATCCTACTTGAATCCACAGCTGCCGAAAACGACAGACCAAGACAAGCTGGCTACACTGAAGGCCACAATCCGCTCTGTCCTGCAGCATCGCTACTCGGACATGCTCGCGATTCCGCCGACGGCAGTCGCTGCCCATATGGAGGGGTCGCTGTTTAGCACCCTATTCAGCAATGTCGGCAGCTCCATCGACGACGGTGATGAAGTCGATAGTTTTCTGAGCATGGGCGTCACGACCGCCAGCACCTTCATTAACGTAAAGAGCTGCTCCCTGCCCACTACAAGATGGCCTGCGGCTACTTGGGAGCGCCGACGACGTCAACTCCCTGCGAACGCGCGAATAGCGGAGCCGGGCGGGAGTTCACATGCTTTCGCCAGTCGCTGTCGTCGACGCTCTTCATCCAGTCCATGTGCTTGGGGTCTTGGATCGCAGCCGGCTGCCTGAAGGTCCCGTCTAACCGGGCCGGAGAAGCGCAGGATCGTCGTTCGTCCGAGGACAATGGCAATGACGAACTTGATCAGGTTGTTGATGAGATCGTCATCGACCAAGACGACTAGAGAGGAGGTTATGGAGGACGGTGTCGTCGACAGCCTCAATGCCCAATTTGAGAGTATTCTATACAAATAAAGCGCTCTACCTCGCATTTACCTGTTATAAACCTTTTTCATATGTAGTACCCCGGTAATTACCCTGTAATCGGGTAATTTGTATGGAGTAAGGGTAAAAGGTAGGGTAAAGGTAGGCTCGTTGCTTTTTAACTTTTACCTTACCTTGCTAAAGGGTAAAAGGTTAGGGTAGAGTGATTGTATTGTGGTTAGGTAAAAGGTAGGGTAAAGGTAGGCTCGTTGTTTTTACCTTTTACCTTACCTTGCCGTGGCTAGTGAGCATGTGTTCGAGTAACATGCTCCAAAAATCCTTTCTTAGCACTTTACCGGGCCGCCTTAAGCCTCGCTCCACTAAAACGCCAACTTCACCGAGCCCGAGCTTTTATTTTCGTAGTATTACGTAATTGTTTGTTTTCTATGCTTATAACTCTTTTTTCCCATGTATAAACTTGAATTTCGTCAATTTCTACCTGCTCTACAACCTCCTCTCTTCTTCTCCCAGGTATTGCTACAGTTTATTTCAATTTTAAGGTTTTATTTCATATCGAGTTTATTTTACTGGCATTGTTACTTTATTTTAAAACACAATTACACTTCGATTGCTTATGGTCTCAGCCAACAGCGATCGGAGAAGTCTAGGCCTAGCCTAATGCATGGTAAACGGACATTCGGAAGTGACTGCTTTCTGTTAACAATTAATATTAAAATGTTGTGGTATTCATAAACAATTGTTCCATTAGTTTCATTATGGGTAGTGTTAGAGTAGATATTCGATTAAATGAAACAATCATAGGAAGTGCAGAGCGTATGTACAGCGATATACGATACAGGTAGCGATAGCAAAACGGACGGCAGCGCGAAACAGTAATGAGAGAAATCGAACTAGTAATTGGGTAGGGGAGGCACAACTATTTCCGGCTATGGGATTTTATCTTGTTTTTCGGGGAAAATTGTTGTTTCCGACATACAGAAAATTCGGGTTACGGATCGTTTTCGGGGCCCTAACCCTTTCGTGACCCGGGGACTGCCTGTACTGCTGGCAAAATGAGTGAGGGCCAATACTTGCCTTTAGCGCCCTCCACAGGATTGGCTCGTACAGTCGGTGCAGCATCTCGTCCACACCCTGGCGGACCTTCTGAGCGTGGAAGTAACTCAACATCTGAGATATAATGAAGCAATCATGAGTCAAGCACAGCACTCTGTGTTATCGCCTGCAAAGCATTTCCACCTGTATGTGACTCATTGTAATTTATATCGGTTCAAATATTATTAAAGTCAACAGCGCCCACCAATCTCACCGTCTACTCAGACAATCACAGCTTATCAGCCTTATCTGAATCAAATTATATATATTCAGTTCAGTGATAATACTGCCACTTGCTGGACTAAGCTGGTAAGTGTTATAAAGTCAATACCTTTTAGATAACTTGTAAAACTGTCATACTGGTTTTCACACAACCACTCATAGTTATGTGTCTGAAATGTAAAATATAAGTAGGAATTATTTTTCAAATGTGTACATATTTTATATACAAATATTCAAATTGAAATATATATCAATACACCAGCTAGAACTTATTGACTGCAGTGATTGAATACGCATTTTCATATGTATATATTTTTTACATTCCACAATGCTGTGGATTTAAAACCTGCCCATAAAACATCCATTTGGAATAGGAAGAACTCAGTATTAACAAATATTCATTCCATACAGGCTAGGCAGTCGTGTATTCAGTACACTGGACAATGTGCTAGGGTTTAAATCGTCAAGAGTTATATTCCATTCATTCAGCAGAAAGGCATATATTATTACAAAGGCAGAATATAGCACTTCAGTGAGGTCCATTTAAAATCCCGCAACGAGGGTGGGCTGTAGTGTATTGGTGTTATAGCCCAACATGACAAATCCAAACATTACCTCCGACTAAAATTATTCAATATAACAATGGTTATTTTCTTGTATACACTTACCTCTCATTCAAAATAAACAATGTCTCAGTGGGCTCTCCCAAGGTTTAGAAGGTCATTTAGTTGAATTTCAATTTCTGTTAATATAAACTGTGGTTAAAATAACCACACAGGAACCTGGCATATGTAGGCACTTCACTTAAAAAGGCTCCTGTGCTGCAGTTGGAGATATGGAGAGAGTTTTCTTGCCTGCCGCACTTTGGAGTTCAATGGAGAGCTGTAAGGCAGGTACACGCCGTGCTCCATCAGGTTCTGGATGCAGTGTTCCTCCATCACCTGCAATGATAAAATGGTACTTATAAAGACCTGAAAGTTGAAATAGACCATTTGTATAATCTAAAACTTTCGTGACTGCAGGAATTCATATTCTATGGTTCTTTCGGTAAAGTCACGTAGATAGACGATTGTGTTGCGATCGAAACGTCGTGATATTTTTTTTTTATATCTACGTGACTTTACCGAAAGAACCATATAATATTTGTATAACCTTTATTCAAGAGACGTAGATAAACGATTGCTTGTGTTGCAATCGAAGCGTCGTGATATTTTTATTATTTTTTATTCACTTTATATTCATTTTTATTATGTTATTATTTTTCTATCTACGTGACTTTCCCGAAATAGCCATATAATATTTGTATAACTTTTGTTCAAGACAGACTTTTTGAGGTGTGGCAGGTGCTTTAAAATGAATTCTTCTTTACAATTAATTGTAAGTTTAATTATACAGTATATTACAAGCCAGGAATTCAGGCAATGGCCTTATGCTCAAAATATTTTGGGCTTTTATATTTATTTGGCAGTTTGGAAACAATGACCACAAATAATGTAAACGTTGGCTTTTCCACCAATTATTAGGCAGCCATTGGAAATTTACACCTATGAAACTATTCTTGCAAACTAGTATTCTAATTCTGTATATGAAAATAAGTCTCAGAATATTCTCACGCAATCATGCTTTCTTTGACAAGTGTTCTAATTAATTGAGCACTAACCTTCAGGTAAGGGCCTGTGGCCTTTTTCCAGGCTTGAAAATAAATGTCAGCATAGTAGCCCACTTGCACTCTGTGGGAGACATCACATAACCAGCCAAATATATGGAAACATTATATTTAAAAAATAGTTCTGACTACTCATGCTTGCCAGCGTGCCTGAGTTAAAATTTTGAACTATCAACGATAAAACCAAGTTTTCTGTAAGTTTAATTATACAAACATGTTCACCAGATACACTATATATATAAAACTTCATATTAGTTTTACACTTAATTTCATGAAGTTCAACTTTGAGGACTAATCTGGCAGACAAGCAGAGGAAAGCATGTCATTTCTGCAGCAAATAAGTAAATCCACCAGTAATGTTTATGAAATTTTAAAAATGTGCGGGTATATTTACCAAATGTCTAAACTACCTGGACATTATTAATTGTAAAAACGTAAACAATTGTAGCATATTAGCATTTGGCATGTAATCAATAACCAAAATATATGCTTATTGGTTATAAAAAATACCATTTAGCATCGAAGCAAACATCTACAAGTATACAGAAAATGCACAAAGAAAAATGGCCTCACTTAGTCAAAGAAGGAAGGTGCTTCTTAAGAACGGCATGAATCGTCTTGATAAAATCCACATTTAAACCGAAAAGGAAGGACAAGAATCGACGACTCTGAAAAACGTAAATTACACGCAATCAGATAAACAATTATTCAAATCACAGCAAGATTCATCCAAGACATTTATTTCAAAAGATATTGCTGAACAGCATACACAAAGATTCTGTAAATGACCAATATAAATATCCAGTAAAAGTAACAACACAATGCTTTAATGCTCGCTTGTTTTACATTTAGTCCTTAAACTGTCTCCGCTTAGGTTTTTCAAAGAACGGTACGAGAACACCACTTTGATGCTGCTGCCTTTGAGTCCGCTGCTCTCACCTCCTCGGTTTTCAGGTAGATATTTGTCACTATGCATCCCTGCAGCAGCAGCTCCTTCAACTCCTCAGTCTCGGGTGGGTTGCCCAGGAAGTCAAACAGCCGGAAGCTCTCACGCAGGCTCCACAACCGCTTTATCACTGCACCCTGCATTAGAACAGTTTCAGCGCGGGCACATTTTATCTGGCTTGCAAGCACCAAGTCCCACTTGACAATTTATAATACAATGGCTGTGTAGCTACATCAACACAAGCAACCATGTGTTAGAAGTACACACAAATACTTCATATTATCGTGACAAGAACTAAATGTAGATGTGCAACAATTTACCCCCACAGAAATTGTATCTGTAATGACTGAAGTGATTTTTTTCTAAATTCAACTATCTGAGTTTCATAATCTCATTTGCATTGTTTCTTGTTTGTACTGTTTCGTTCGCTCCATTAGCTTCAATGTAACATTACCATATAATTTGCATACGATACACATACATTGTTGATTGCAATACGGACAATTTGATGCATAATGTTAGTTTAATAATCGATTTTAAGCGATGTATCATTACATTCAAAGCTAAATAATAATCTTTAAAAAACGCACTGATTGCAGTAAAAAAAAATCACAAGAATGAAAGTCACTGTCATGAAAAACAACAAATTATAAATTGCCATTCAAGGCATTGCTACATACCAAGGCTTTGCTCTGCTGTATTAAATTGCACCGCAGAATTGTGAGGATCATATTCTTTCCAAGCTCCTCTTTCCCAGGTAGGTCTCTCTCCCACCAAGACTCGCACAGGTTTATGACCGTGTTTCTTAGGTTAGGGTGAGAATCGGTGAAAAGTGGCAACAGGGCTGTCAACAGGGTGAGAAAAACGGTAGAGTAGATTGGAACTAATTATCACCACAGGAACATACATATCTTGTATTGTTGCCTGATGTAACCACCTGGAATGCATTTTTTATACAGGGTGACAAAAAAGTCTGGACAAATAGGGTTATTTCATTTATTTAGCACTGGCATTAAAACATTTAAACAGTTTATTCTTTAAGTTAATATTTATCTATTATCATTATTCATATCTATTTGTATTCTTCCTGTGGGTTCACCACAATCCCGTTGTTTACAAAATTCGACCAAGAACCTTGAATGAATTTAGACAAAACGTAATTTAGGAATGGTCAAAGATTACACGTGAATCTAAAAAAAGTCCAAAAATAACTTCTACAGAGAATTCATGTATACATTCATGTTAATGGAAGTCAGTTTGAAAATTGTTAAAATAAGATAACCCATTCAGTCTTGACCTATGGGCCACCCTGTATATTCAGCATAACAATAATTTGTAGGCTCAATTATTAAATAAACTATTGCCAATATTTTGGTAATCTACCCTATACAGTACTTGAAATCAATATATCATCCAGTGCGCATGCATAACATTTCCCAGTGCAACATCAAGAAGTATTTTATTTTGCAGATATTTATGAGATGAACATACTGCAATAGGTTCATTGGGATATGCAGCTCTAAACAATGAACTGTTATAAATTATCCAAGTCAGAGAAATGTGGCAAATAACTACTTTATGTATCTTGGTTTCGTTCTCCTACTATACATACTCACAAACTTTTACTCTTTCCAATTATAAAAAAACTGAGAAGTCGTGGAAACAGATATAGTCAATAATTTATCAATTTGTATCAATTATTCATAGACGTCACCCTGCCTCTTTACCATGTAGAATGATAGCCGACTCCAAAATGTCTTCTATCACCTCCGCACTGACAGTTTTCACAGCCACAGATAGCACTGTGGCTACAGCCGTCACAACAGCTACAGTTGACTCCTGGATGCAAACACATAATGATGGGAGCAGGTGTCACATTTTAACCACACAACTCCTAACATCAACAATCAAATAACAAGTGCCATCCATTGTCAGAGTTAATATATCACAGTATTTTTAGTGAACGTGTATAAAACCAGTTGAAATTTTTTTCATGTCTTTGCATGCTTACCACAATCATTCATACTCTTTAAAACGTGTTTTTATCTACAGTACTCAGAATATATGACATGCAACTATAATTTAATTAAATGTTTTGGGTATATTAATACAGGTAAATCAGACGAATACAGAATTTTTAATTGTCTGGTAGCTCATGGGCTGATGCAGTAAAATTGACAAAACAATGAGCCAGCAAAGCTGAGATTCTTGGTTCAGGTCCAAGATAAAATAAGGCTTGCAAGTATAAGAAGCCTTAATGATCTCAGCCAGACCACCAATGTGTGTAATTTTCTGTTTACAATCATACTGAGATATTTGGTTGATAGGCATTCGATGAATCACATTAAAATGTACCATGAAAGAGTAAAAGGACAGAATTTAGATGTATAGTACCGATCCCGTGGCTTCTGTCTCCATGTCGTCGTGTTGCGGTGGGTCAGGGTTCCATTGCTCAGCGGGGCAACGCAGCAGGCTCTCAGTGAGTATCTTGCCGATACTCTCAAGTGCATCCTTCAGAGCGCGCAGTGGCAACTCCTCCAGCACTTCCTTCAAGCAGAATGGGTCTGTGCGGCTTTTCTACAAGAAACACCGTGATTATATGACATTTAACTGTTCGGCTGCATTCCCTGAGCAAGTAACGATGTATTGAATAGAATGAAACGAATTCTAACGCTAATGGTATATGTACAACATCATTTGTGCGATCATTATTGTATGTTTTAGAATGGTTTCATGTGATCTGTGCAGTCACTAGAGGCATTATATTTACCAAAATATGAAATAATATCGAATATCAAGGTAAAATTGTAACATTTCACTGAATTGATGCATGTATTCGTGTTCAGGATTCCAAGTAAGGTTCTGGGTAGACGACAGCTTCTTTAGAATGCTGCTGCTAGAGTCCGTACGCACACACCATTTCGCGAGCACATCACACACCTGCTTTCTTGTGTTTACACTGGCTACCAGTCAAGTATCAAGTGGATGAAAAGACCCTGCTGCTGACCAAATCTCAGTGGGTTAACCCCACAATATTTGCAGGAATGGATCCATGTTTACACTCCAACGAGGTCCCTGAGATCTTCAAATCGCCTTCTTCTAAGTCCTCCGAGGTCAAGGCTCATTTCCTGAGGTGATTGGGCTTTTGCCAGTGCAGCTCCCAGACTATAGAAAGCTTTGCCATTGGCAATGAGACGATCAGAGTCGTTATGTATAGATTTAAGTCTGTCTTGAAAACTCACCTATTTAAATTGACCTTCACCCCCTAGTTAGGGGCGTTTACCCTGGTTCTGTTTATATCCTGCTTTCGATACACAGGGCACATAGGAATCTTGCAGAAGGAATACTCCTTACAAATTGATGTTTTTTTTAATATATGCGAAGTATAAACTTACAATAATCACGCTACACACAAAAAGCGTGTTCTGTTCGCATCATCCTTAAATAAACACCTAAATGTAACCATCGTTATTTTCTTCCGTGACATCACAACGTCCCACGTTCCATTGACTTTCTGGCAGCAACAAGCAAACCGTACGAATCTACTGCAGTGTCCGTCGCTAGTGAGTGACAGGGACGCGGCATGTTGGCAGAGGAGAGCCCTCACGTGTCGCTCTACGATCTCCAGCAGCCGTGACGGCGACTCCTCCTTGAGACTCTGCAGGAAGGCGTCTCGGGCAGGTCGGGTTGCAGCAACAGTCGCCTTTCCTTCGAGGCAGCCATTCTCGATGGCTTCTCCAGCTATGCTGCACAGGGTTGTTAAACGTGACACACGTACGAGCTTTTGAGTGGGAAACCCCTCCGTTAAATAGAACAAGGTTCCACAATGGGCTCCCCCTATCTCCGGTTGTAGCCAACATTTTCATGGAGAAATTTGAGACTGACGCCATCCAGACTGCCACTCTACACCCGACCTTATGGAAGAGGTACGTAGATGACACTTTTGTCATCTGGCCACATGGCCGGCCTGCTCTAGACCAATTTCTCGACCACATCAATTCCATACACCCAGCCATCAGATTCACCATGGAAGTCGAAAAAGATGGCAAGCTACCCTTTTTCGATGTCTTAATTAAAAGGAGACCTGATGGTTCAATGAGCCATTCTGTCTACAGGAAAGCCACCCATACGGATGCCTACCTAAAACCGGATTCCCACCACCATCCATCCCAGAAGAACTCCCTCATCAAGACTCTATACCATAGAGCCCAATGCATCTCCGACCAGGAACACATTGCCAGTGAACTCAAACACGTACGCCAAGCTCTTAAGGCTAATGGTTACTCCGACTACACAATCCGCAAGGCCATCACTCCAACCGTCAAGAAGGATCCTGCTGAGGAGCCTTTCAAAACCATCACCTTACCCTACATTGCTGGGGTCACAAAAAAGATCTCCAAAATCCTGATTAAACACAAGATTCAGGTACGATTCAACACAGTACATAAAATCCGTGATCTGGTCCCGTCTGTAAAAGACGTGGTTCCAGACATACAGTACCCTGGCGTCTACAAACTAAGTTGCCTCTGTGGTAGCAGTTACATTGGAGAAACCAAACGACATGTCTCGGATCGCATCCGTGAACATAAAGCAGACCTGAAACACGGTAGGACAAACACCTCAGCCGTGGCAGATCACTGTTACAATTCAGTGGGCTCACATGACATTGACTTCTCCAAGACAGAGGTTCTCTGCAAGCCATCTGGCTACCATGAGAGATTCGTTCATGAGGCGATCCACATATACAAACACAGAGACAATTTCAACCGAGAAGATGGATTCTGGCTCAGCAATCATTGGAAGGACGTAATAAACCACTTCGGATCTTAACTGATTGTTGTTCACGTTTATGGTGACTTTCAGACCGCAGTCCACTCACTGGCATTAACTGTGTATCTTGTGTTCTCCACAGGGAATGCATTATTTGCTCCGCTGCGGGTCTCCTGCCACCGTTCTCCCATTCACATGTTTCATTGCTTCTACATATTATTAACATGCCCTCCCTTTGTTAATGCTACCCCCCCTCCCTTTGGTGCTGCTGATCCTGCATAATGCATGGGCATAATATGACTTTGAAACCCCCCCGCCCACCTCCTACGCATTTCTCATGAATATGCTAAATTCCTCTTGATATGCACATTCTTTTGTTAAGGCTCTCTTCTTCTTCCACCTCCAACTCAGCTTATATATAAGCTCCTAGCTTGGCAGTGTCTCATTCTTCACCTGAAGACGGCTGCTTGCGTTGTAGCCGAAACGTCGTGAGAATTAAATTTGATTTAAAGCTTTCGTGACTGCAGGGATTCATCTTCTTGGTTCTTTCGGTAAAGTCACGTAGAAGGGAAGTAATAAAATAATAAAAAATAATAAAATAAACATAATAAAATTATTCTCACGACGTTTCGGCCACAACGCAAGCAGCCGTCCTCAGGTGAAAACCAGGTCCGTCGAGGCGACAGAGTCTGAATGAAACAGCACACGAGCTTGGAGCATATATATAAGCTGGGCGCATTGACAAAGGAATTTGCATATCAAGAGGAATTTAGCATATTTATGGGAAATGCAGGAATGTGATTAGTACTGCATATGCATGTGCATTATGCAGGATTAACAGCATCAAAGGGAGCTGCAGTTGCTGCTGCTGCTGCTGCAGTTGCTGCTGCTGCTGCAGTTTCTGCTGCTGCTGCAGTTTCTGCTGCTGCAGCAGTTGCTGCTGCTGCTGCAGTTGCTGCCTTATCCATTTAATATAACACTATGTATTATTCTACCCACCCTAATGTGTATTACACTGCTATATATTTACTATACAATTACGACACCATACATTACTCTGCACACTGCACCATGCCAGTGAGTGGAACGCGGTCTGAAAGTCACCGTAACGTGAACACAATCAGTTAAGATCCGAAATGGTTTATTACGTCCTTCCAATGATTGCTAAGCCAGAATCCATCTTCTCGGTTGAAATTGTCTCTGTGTTTGTATATGTGGATCGCCTCATGAACGAATCTCTCATGATAGCCAGATGGCTTGCAGAGAACCTCTGTCTTGGAGAAGTCAATGTCATGTGAGCCCACTGAATTGTAACAGTGATCTGCCACGGCTGAGGTGTTTGTCCTACCGTGTTTCAGGTCTGCCTTATGTTCACGGATGCGGTCCGAGACATGTCGTGACATATGTTCACGGATGCGGTCCGAGACATGTCGTGACATGTCGTGACATGTCTCGGACCGCATCCGTGAACATAAGGCAGACCTGAAACACGGTAGGACAAACACCTCAGCCGTGGCAGATCACTGTTACAATTCAGTGGGCTCACATGACATTGACTTCTCCAAGACAGAGGTTCTCTGCAAGCAATCTGGCTATCATGAGAGATTCGTTCATGAGGCGATCCACATATACAAACACAGAGACAATTTCAACCGAGAAGATGGATTCTGGCTTAGCAATCATTGGAAGGACGTAATAAACCATTTCGGATCTTAACTGATTGTGTTCACGTTTACGGTGACTTTCAGACCGCGTTCCACTCACTGGCATGGTGCAGTGTGCAGAGTAATGTATGGTGTCGTAATTGTATAGTAAATATATAGCAGTGTAATACACATTAGGGTGGGTAGAATAATACATAGTGTTATATTAAATGGATAAGGCAGCAACTGCAGTACAGCAGCAACTACAGCAGCAGCAACTGCAGCAGCAGCAGCAACTGCAGCAGCAGCAACTGCTGCAGCAGCAGAAACTGCAGCAGCAGCAGAAACTGCAGCAGCAGCAGCAACTGCAGCAGCAGCAGCAACTGCAGCTCCCTTTGATGCTGTTAATCCTGCATAATGCACATGCATATGCAGTACTAATCACATTCCTGCATTTCCCATAAATATGCTAAATTCCTCTTGATATGCAAATTCCTTTGTCAATGCGCCCAGCTTATATATATGCTCCAAGCTCGTGTGCTGTTTCATTCAGACTCTGTCGCCTCGACGGACCTGGTTTTCACCTGAGGACGGCTGCTTGCGTTGTGGCCGAAACGTCGTGAGAATAATTTTATTATGTTTTTTTTATTATTTTTTATTATTTTATTACTTCCCTTCGTCGTGAGAATTATTTTATTATGTTTTATTTTTATTATTTTATTACTTCCCTTCTACGTGACTTTACCGAAAGAACCAAGAAGAAGGCTTTTCAATGTACACACATTAATTTGCACTCGAAAGTACAACATACATTATTTTGACCCCATGAATTAATCAATTTGATTTGCGGAATGAAAGTGGGTGGCTTGCATGAAGATAATTAAACATATAGAAGGGATGCCACTCACTTTATTCAGCACATCAAATGTGATTCATTCTAGGGTCAAAATAATGTATGAACTGTTGTAATTACGCAATATTAATGACTTCAACCATCTCGATAAGAGTTACACCTATTTAGGCCAGAATGCCATACAAGGAGCTGGTGTGGCAAGTACTATGACTGACAATCTTTGTCTTCCCGATGCTGATGTTCACATACCCCACCAGGTACACTCATTTAAGACTGAGTCGAAGTAGGGGGGCCCAGGACTAGTTCTGACATCACTTGCCGCTGATATTAACTGTAACTGGGAATTCACTGCGCAAACCACTGTGCCACTGCTACCCACATATGCACACAAAAGACTAAGATCCCCGTTCAAACTGTTAGGGCAAAAGCTGCTAGTGTACACTTATGAATGCCGGTACGGCCCACGAGGGGGTGGATGGCCAGCACCACACTCGATGGCCTTTGTCTCCCCAGTGGCGATGTTTACTACACCGCACCAAGTACTCATTTGAGGCTGAGTCGACCGAGGGAAGGCCCATGGCCAGTTCCGATATAATCGTCACTGGAATTGGCCGTGAGTGGGAATGGATAAAAAATAAATCCATGAAATGGTTCTTACCTTGTACTCCTGTAACCACCATCAGGATGCTCAGCCAAAGAAAACGTTTCTTATCCATTGTCAGTCACAGTGTTACTAGAATAACACAATAGAGACAATGTATTCACACCGGCAAGAAATATAACTCACTTCACTTACAACATTTTCATCATCAGCAGCCTGTTTATATTCACTGCTGAACGAAGGCGCCCATCACGTTGGTCCTGCGATGCCACGGACCATCTTGATTCTGCGCTGATTTTGTCACTCCATCCCCACGGTGGTCACTCTCGACGTGTTCTCTTTCCTTTGGCTGACATTGTCACCAGCTTCATATATCTGGTATCATCCGTCTAGCAGTGTCCAACCAAGGCCACTTTGTTTTCATAAAGATGAACATGATGCACAGAATCATAATGAGATAACAATTAGCTGCACTATGCGTAGACACGAATGCACATCTCAAAGTACACACCTTAAGGGAAACGTGAATATAATAATAAAAACGGGCTAACCTGTTTGTAGAATGTACCTCATCAAATGTAATGTATAGCTCGTCCTCAGACACCGTACTACCACAACCAAGCACAGGCTAGAGACAACTAAAGCTGTCCTCGAAGAAAAACCTGTTAGCACTGTAACCAAATTTCAAAAGATGTAAAATAAATGTAAATTTTTCAACATGCCAACTACTCTTGCGAGAAGTATGCGTGGGTGGGATGGGGAGACGCGTGCTCGCGTGTGAGTTTGAGAGGGCGATACTGTAGAGCAAGGCTCGCAGTGCAGGGGTGGAGAGGCTGTGTGTATACTGTACTCATTGTCTCACACCCACACTAAAGTTAATGCGGAACAGGGCCCACTGGCGGATACAATCACGG